ATGACATCATCTACAGTAAAATGGGATTAGTATACTGTTGTATGAACAATACCAACCCCTTCAGCTTTTTATTAGAAGTTAGATATAGGGTGCAACAACTAAACTATTTGGTTAATACTTAACCCTTCAAGAAGTGATCTGTTATCAAGTCGTCTTATTGGCAATAAGAAGAGCATCTCTCAATACTCAAAGTTTCACATCCTCTAAGCGTAGTAACCATCGGGGTTATCGCTTGATATCCTCTACTCCCTTGGACCCCCTCTAAAGTCCTCGAAAATGGGCCTCCTATCACTAGAAAGAATTAAATAGTCGAAATGGAAGCTATTGAGTAGCGCATCAGTGTTATAAAAGGAGGGATTAGGTTCCTCTGGAGGTGCTCCCACTGGTTCAAAAGCCACTTCTGAGTCCTTATTGTCATTCACCTGTATCGGCTCCAACCTTTCTAATTCTGACCACCTCCCAGAAGGAACTTTCAAAATCTCCCTTGAAAAGCAGTCAGCCGCCACACGCCATTAAGAGATTTGAAGGTCAATAAGGAGTTGGTAAGGCATTGACTTGAGTTCTCCTCCACCAATTTTGACGAGGGTCAATGATCCTTATGATATTATGTGAAACAACAATAAGCTAGTGAGTGACCCATGGGTATGGGTTACAAACGCCGTCGGGTTTCCCGCTTGTGTATTGAAAGTAATATGTTCTCTCGTCTTCGGTTGCAACTTCAAAATGATTAGCCCTATGTTGTTGGATGTCGCCGCTATCACTGGGCTCCCTCCGGTAGTATTTATGAGTGGAGTTTCATACCCACTCGCCCGGAGGAAAGGATAATCGCTTGTTATTCTCATCGGTTGAACATATGGGAGGATCCAAACTAATTTTGCTTTCCCCTGTAGGAATGGGAAATCTTTCTCATATAACATGAATCCAAATTTCATTTTATCCGAGAAAAGCCACCTTTTCCCTCAAATTGTGCCAATGATGTGAAAGGGGGCATGCATTGATTAACAATATCAATATCTAAATGCGCCTTGGGAGTAACATCATGGAAATCTCTTGGTAAGCGGAAGAAAAGCAAGAAAGAAAGGTTGTCTACTACTAATAATTGAATGTAGAAGGGGATCCTAAACTAAAAAGGAGTCAATGACCCAATTGACCAACTTAAACTTTGTCAGCAGCTTAAACAACCCCCAATTTTTTCAACTCTATTTTCAGTTACTTTCATATTAATTAGTTGATATAGGCAATTTAATTTTGACACATTGAACTGAACATTATTAAATTCAGCAAAAATAAGTTTCTGAATAAATTTGTAATCTTATCTACACTTGTTCAATATCTTATCCCGTTAAACATGAATACTAGTATTCATCATTAATTTATGATCATCACCATTCAAGCTTGTAATAGACTCTCATTCATTATTATCTAATTTAGTTCTGATGCATTTCAATATACTAAATAAAATCACTCATTGAACTTATCAAATATATCATAACGAGTTATGACCACCACTTGTTTATGTCAATTTATTAAAAAGAATCACGACTCTAATGAACAATGAAATGAAACAAGTCTACTGCCACTTAAAACAGTGATGGTCACAACTAATTCATTGTACAATTTATCAAATAGATACATGACTCCACTAAGTAACAATGAAACGAACAAGAATAGGGTTGAGCATGATCCGATTCGGTTTGGTTCTAATGTTCTTCATAGAGTTAATTGTTAAAATCACAGGGAAAGAAAGATGAAGAGTTCCCAATAATTAAAAGATGCGTTGTCAAGTTTGAATTCAATTTTTTCAAAACGGCAAAAATGGCACTACGGTAAAATAATAGAATTGGGAAAAGTTAAGTCAATTTGATTAAGTTAGATTTGGACTCAAAATTAGAAATAGAAAAAATCATATTTTTGAATTTGAACTGACTTAATTAATTAACAAATTTATTTAGAAAAAATAAAATAATTTGACTTATTTAAACTAAATAAATTTAAAAAATTAAGGAGATTCGATTCTTCGATTTTTGATCTAGAATCGAGAACCAAATCAAACCCGTCAATTCTCGATTCAAATACGTGTTCAAATTTTTAACTTAAAAAGAGCCACTCAGCTCAGCTCGGGAGTTTTGCCCAACCTTAAACAAAAAGTTCACCACCACTTGAGAAAATGTTGATCGCGATTAATTATAAATAACATTATTCTTCTCTCCCATGTCAAGACTAAAATAAAGTCAAAAGGGTTTTCCCTTGTGGTCGATTATCTAGATCACGAACGAGTCACCGAGGTGGTGCCACCTCCTCCCGACGTCCTCCTTTCTCCACATCATAATTTCCAAATTGAGCCCGTGGACTTTTTGGTATCCAACATCAGAATATTCCACCAGCCGGCACCCGCACCGCATAAGTTTTATCAAAATTCTAGACGTGCCAAAAGACAAAACAAAAACTAACACCTTGCAATTCACAATTATCCCAATTTTTTTTTTCTTTTTAATTGACATTGGACCAGCCACGGCAGCACTTGGACAGCATGCACTCTAGTAATACCCATCCATCTAACATCTGTCTTCTTTCTTACCTAAGCTATCTTCATCCTAATAATCGACACAAAAATACGTGTTAGATATACATGTTTGACCGAACAAAATAACAGGCAAACATTTTACAGATTTATAGTACTACCACCTTATAAAAACCTTTCATTTTAGAAAGGGATTTGTAAAGATTGTAAAGAGAAGTGAAAAAATTAGCACTCGAGTGTCTTAATTTATCGAGCAATTAAAGTCATTACAAATAATGAGAATTAATATCCACAACAACCCATAATGTTGCATCTATATTGATAAAGGATTATGCTACTTGCATATAAAATGATACATAAATTATTACATAAAATTACGTGGAGGGAAAAGATTAGATAAAAAAGTTTACTATCTTAAACTATCAAATGCTATAATGACATGTGGCATTAAGTAACCCACTATATAAAACTTAGTGTACATATAGAAAGGTCCATTGATAAAACCTACTCTAAGTTCACTGGGCGAGCTTTTATCTGGATAACATAAGATGCAATTCAAATAATTCTCACTCTTTCCTAGGGCCTGTTTGAGCCACATTTTTAAAAAAAAATACATTATTAAACAGTGATTTGATATCATTTCAATCACACATTTTTCAATAAAATAATATTACACGCAGATCAAAAAAATTTCTTTATTTTTTAACCACACACTTCTCATCAATACAATATTCAAGAATGCATTATTACCAAAATAATGTGGCTCAAACACCCCCTTAATCTAGACTTGGTGTTACATCTAAGAATGCTAAAAGTTGCGGACCATCCTGCCAAGAACAAGTGGTCGACCACTATTTGCCCAAGAAATTTGAATATTATTAATCAAGAAATATAAAATTCCACAATCATAATCTGCGTGGACCCATCCACTAAGACGAGGCTGTCGAGCTGTCACGTATTGCCTCGCAATCATATACAAATGAAAAAGAACCAAAAAATAATAATAAAAATACATAAGAAATTATTAAATAGAATCAAGTAGACCGACAACATCAGGCCTTCACTTAATTTGGACTTGATTATTGAGTAAATTTCCCGGGAGGTCCCAAACTAGGAGGCTCTAACAAACTGAGTCTGATACACGATTAAGTTTCGGGGCACCGTAAAAGAATGAAACACGTGCAAACCCACTCAAAACTAACTTGCTGAAAACTTAACAGGATACAAACAACTCTTGCTGATAACTGAAAATGGGGGTCGATTCCCAACCTACACGATTGCAATAATTGTTCTCAAATATAAGTTCGTTTGGTTGTTCTCAACCTTTTAAGTGATCATTTATTTCACCCTTCAAAGAGTGAGACATATGCGCAAATCAACTGAAGGCTAACTTAAAACCACCTTGAAAGGTTAAATCCAACTCTTGCCAAAAACAAAAGTTAGGGTCGCGATCCACACAAGTCATAAGAAATTGGTCTCCAAAGTTTTTAAGTTGTTCCAATCTCTTAAGTGATCACCTTTTTTACCCATCAAAAGGTAAGATATGTAAATTCATAGAAGATTCGAGACTAACTTACTACCCATGAAGGTTTAAAGAAACTTTTGCAGAAACTAAAGCTTGAGAGTCCCAACCCCATTCAAATTGATGTCTATATTATCCTTCAAAAAGTTAAGACGAAGAGTCAAAGACTAACTTAATACAAACTTGAAGTTGGTAAACAACCTTGCCAAAAACTAAACATGAAGACCAACGTGCTATAAGTATAATAGATTAAGACCTTCGGGTGCAATTTTCAGCTGTTTATATCCAGTAGATTGATTAAAAGAACTGAATAAATCACAGGTAAATGCAACTGATGCCCCACTCTAAAACTACCCAGACCATCATCGGATTAACGTTTGTTATACTGTCGGTCGCGTTTTTAATATTCTAATAAAAAACTCAACAGACTGAACTTTGCCAGATGAAAACGCAATTCAATAAATTATATATCCTTTCTAACTTTTTCATTTTCCAGGCAAAACAGAATAATAGAAAAAATACAAATTCGCCTGAAATGATCACTTAATCAAAATAAACAAAAAGTAATTAAAAAAAGTGAAAATGCAGGGGAAAAAATGTGAATTTACCGCGGAGTGTTATCGGAGTTGAGTTTACAGGTTTTCGTACAAATCATAAGGGGCCCACGACGCGTCGAGTGGACACGGCTGCTTGGAGTCGAGCCGAAGCCACGGCTTGCCGCTGCCGCTCCAGTGAAGGAGGCTAACTGGACCATGGTGGAGGTCCCGGCAGCTTCCCTTCACATTATCGCCTCCCAAGCCATGCTGATTCCACCGGTGTTCGATCGGCGCCACAAGTCCGGCGAACACCAGAAGAAACGGCGGCAGCGAGCCGAGCTCATAGATCCGGCGAGGACTAGTCTTCTGTATCTCCATCCATCGCTCAATTCGCCGCGTGTACCCGAACCGCCGCCACTTGACCAGGTCTATTACCATCACTCCGGTGTTGAAATAGCAAGGTTTCCTGCCGGAAAACACGCCGGGAAATCTCCGATCCGACCAGAAATACTCGGTGAAGTATTTGGTGAAATTTGCGTGACAATATTCGGGTGCTCCAATGGTCTTGTCCCCCAAGCTTGTATTCCAAAGCTTCGAAATATCATCAACCACAACTAGATCCGAATCCAAGTAAATCACCCTTCTGACGCATGGCTCTAAAAGGTCTGCTAAGTAATTTCTAGCATAGTTAAGAGGTTGTTCGAGTGCTTGCCTCACGGAAGTTGAGATCAGGCTCCGGACCCGTTCCGGATCGAAGAAATACACTTTAAACTTCAATTCTGGGAAAGTGGATCCGACTAGGTTTTGCAGACCCGGCTCCGAAACTAGGAAATGGAAGAACACACTCTCCGGGCACTTAGAATGCTGAAGAATCGAATGAACGGCAGCAATTGAACCGCGTAAATATTCAACATCAAGAGTAATCGCGACATGGACCAGATAAGGATGGCACGAGCCAGATTTTCCCAATGTTAATGAGCGGCATTCATCGGCATTGTGGAATGCATCGGCTTTTCTGAAAGAGAATCTGTTCAAAGAGCCTGTGGATTCAATAGGAGGGTTTAATCGGATATGAGAATCGGTTTGAGAGTATTTAATCGCTTCCGCCGGAGGGAATGACTGTAGATAAGGGAAGAGTATAATCATCACCATCGCTGCAGAGAAAAACCCAGACAGTCTCGCAATCCACAGCATTTTTCCTCTGTAAATGAATCTCCGTTTTCGCTTTCTTTTCCTTAATTTGAAATCAAAACGATTAGAAGATATCAAAGAGATTACGAACGCTATGGTTCCTCGAAGGTCCGCCAGAGTAAATTGCGATATTTTCACTAAAAAATTCCCAACCCCAACAACAAATAGTGCCTTTTCCTTCTGGAATTTCTTCTCTCTGTGGGATTCCATCAGAGAGAGATGATAAAAAAAGTAAAAAAGAATCAATCCATAAACACAATGAAAATGAAGGCGGATAAATAATCGGTGCGGGCGGCACGACAGTCAGTCACAGTCTCTCTCCAACACACGCACTCTCTCCAGCCGGTTATTTTTATTATTTTTATTATTTTTTTGCTTCTCTCGCTCTTGGAAATGGTGAAGAAACAAGTCGAGAGCCACACAAGGAGGAAGATAGAGAAGGAGAGGGTCGTGGGAGTATTGTACTACTAGTCTTTGAATGTACAACTAGTCCTTGATCTATTGTTGTGAAAGTAAATTAGTCTCTAACCTTTGAAAATGAATAGCTTAATATACAAATCTTTTATTGAGTTGTCCATCAATGTTGATCGATAAAGTTCTAAATCCTTGTCAACAATTAACATAACTCTTGAGAGAAATATACATCTCTTCAAAACTTTGCTCACTAGTTCAACTTGGAAAGCAAATTCTAGACATACAAAGTTGGATATGATATGATAATGAGATGAAATAACATATAACAATGAGCATGAACATTTATGAAAACATCCGAAACATACTAGAAATATATTGAATTTTGCAAATTAGTTCAATTTGAATTAAAGTTTAGCTAGTTGTGATTCTAATTAGTTTAGTATCATGAACCAAACAACATAGTCCGATACATGGTTCAAGTAGACCGGCCCTAATATATTGGGTGCTCTGTGTGCCATTTTAAAATAAGCCCCATTTCATGCAATTAAATAAAAATATTTCAATTATATTTTAGAGTAGTGCTACAGATAATAAGCATATACATAGAGATATTCATAATGTCACGTTGCACTATATCATTTGTCTGTTTAAAACACAATCAACTTTTTCAATAAAACTTTTTCCTCCACATCATATTATGTCATCCTTTATGTAAATTTATTATGTATGCTTAGCAAAATCCATTATTTTATCGCAAAAATGACATTTATATATTTGTTTACTTTTTTACATGTTATAAATAAGAAAAATACAAATAAATTTCAAAAACAACTCTCGCACTTTGTCAAAATTCATATGTTATCAACAAAAAATCATCCGAGCCACTAATCTCTTCTTGAAATTTCACATGAGCAAATTAACCTTGAAATCTAATACAGTAAATATCACGTGTAAACTTTGAAATGTAAAAAATCATGTAAAAATATTTCTTCTCACATTTTCATAAATTATATTCTCAACTTTTCATAAATGGTATCATTCAAAAACTATTAAAATCGGTAGAAAATACTCCCCGAGTAGGCCCTGATGGTTAAATTTTGAGTAATGTCACTAGGATTGTAACCTCAATTTAAGTGGCGTTGATATGATATTAAATGATGGGTAGAACTAAATATGTCATTTGATTTTATCTTTCATTCAACTTATCATCTAGTGTCACCTAAACTGCGATTGTAACCTTAGTGGGGCTGCATAGCATTATTCTTGAAAAAAATTCGTCCTTAGAAACTGATTATGTTATTGTGAAAAAAGGTAATGATTATTTCGTTACCAAGGCAATAGGTTGGCATATCAATAGTGCAATTTTCGTCAAGTTTATTATCTCTCTTAATTACTATACTACTGAATAATAAAATGAGATTAAAAAGTAAATAAGTTTTCCTCTCAAATGAAAACTATTATTATAGGCACAGTAGTATTAAGAAATAACTAACAATGTGGCCCCCCGGGGCATAGCCCAGTAGTGTAAAGAATATGAGTGAGATTATCTCACGCTTTGCTGACAGCCGCAGTGTGGGGGTTCGATTCCTGAGATATGAAATTGAACTCCTTGTAGGCTCAGTGTACAGACAACTCTTGTTCCCTGGCCTGTTATGGCATATCTCGCTATTTACCTCCTTCATAAAACTCTAGGGACGGGACAGTGAAGGCCCTTAAGGTTGAGATTAAACCTTCTTTTTTTTTTTTCTTTTTTTTTTTTTTAAAGAAATAACTAACAATGTGGAAAAACCAGGCAACCAGCTGTCTTCTTGTGACTTGCTTCCATAATAAAGACACATCCTCACTGTACACGTGGCTTCTTCACATGCCATCTCACTGATTTTCTGTTTTTCCATTTTTTTTTACCACAATATTAATGCAATGTTTGATAGCCAAGTTTCAAGGAATTTTCCATTTTCCACTTTTTCATTGTTTGATAGCATTTGTTTTTCCTAGAATTCATTTACTCGCTTTATTGCCATTTCAGCCAAATTCCAACTTTTTGATGAATTTGAATTCTCATCAAAATGAAAGAAATAACTAACAATGTGGAAAAACCAGGCAACCAGCTGTCTTCTTGTGACTTGCTTCCATAATAAAGACACATCCTCACTGTACACGTGGCTTCTTCACATGCCATCTCACTGATTTTCTGTTTTTCCATTTTTTTTTACCACAATATTAATGCAATGTTTGATAGCCAAGTTTCAAGGAATTTTCCATTTTCCACTTTTTCATTGTTTGATAGCATTTGTTTTTCCTAGAATTCATTTACTCGCTTTATTGCCATTTCAGCCAAATTCCAACTTTTTGATGAATTTGAATTCTCATCAAAATGGTGATAATTCATTTTCCCAGTTATTGTGGGGTTTTTCTTTTCTTTTCATTTTTTTTTGGGAATGAAAACAAATTTTAAGAATTATCATAAAAAATATTTTCCTTTCATTGACAATTTTCATGTAAAACAAAGTCAAAGGAACACCAAAATATAGATGATTTTCTTGATTTTTTTTTTTTTGGGAATGAAAACAAATTATATCTCCAATACTAGTAAATTTTATCCCTTTAATTGACAAATTTCATGTAAAATAAAGTCAAATGAACATCAAAAGATAAATGATTTTCTTGGGTTTTTTTTTTTTTTTTTTGGCATGGAAACAAATTCTATTCCCAATACTAGTAAATTTTATCCCTTTAATTGATAATTTTCATGTAATTCAAAGCCAAACGAACCCCAAAAAATACTTTTATTTCAACATTTTTCACTTGAAAAATTATACCAATCAAACACAAAAATTGACAATTTCTAAGAAAACAATTTCTAGACAATTCAATTATGTGGAATTCGTTTTCTTTCATATTATATTTCTGTTTGTTGGGGATTAAAATCAAAATTTTAATTTAAGACAAAGTCAACATTTAATTTAATCATATATTTAATGAGATTCACAATATTTTAATCACAAATTTCGTCAACTCTTATTGAAATTTATTAATAATATGATTTTAATCTTCATCAAACAGTGGTTATGTCAATTCAAGTTTGTTACAACATCTTAATAGTGACCTCATGCAATTGCCCTCTTACTTCTATCTTTACCCTTTGATATCTATTACGCATTATACATTTAAGACATGTTAAGTATAATGGATTAGATAGTTTGATCGACGTATATCAAATATCTTTCTGTCTCAATTATATCTAGTAGTTGTTCAACCTAATTTGTTGAAGTTGCTTCGAGGGTACCTTTTATGCCACAATTCGTTTGTGATATCTTATATCTGTATGTACCTTAATCATATTTACATCACACCTTGAAAATAATCAATCAATTTATTTTCATTATATCGTACAATTTCATTCTACGGCAATTTATTCATACGTGTATATGTAAATACATGAAAAAATTTGATTATTTGAAATATTATATTTGATAAATTCTAGCGGGTCAGGATTTTGAAAAGAATACATAATCAAGCAACTAGGTTAAATTAAGTTGCTACTTGCTTGTCTTTAACTTCTTATAATTCAAACTTTGCTTACATGATGAGTAAGGTAAAAAATGATGCAATTCATTTACCAAGTAAACCAACCTTGGTTCATAACAAGTAATAGATACCATCAAAAAAATGGTTTTCAGACTATTACGTCAGCCGATGATTTACCTAGTGCGCACCCGAAGGGTAGCGACTACGAGTTCCCCATCATAATAAGAAAAAAAAGTAATAGATGCCATCCACCAACTAATTGTAATTACCATTTCAAAGGATTGAGACGTTTTATATCAATTTCTAGCATCTATATTTAAATATAAACATTCAATTGGAGTAATAGTCAAAATAATTTTACGTTACCATATGTATGAACTGATGTGACATAATGTGACACTAAGATATCCTTTACAAAAAAGTGACCACTTCTCCCGTGCTATAGGAACTCTCATTCGAGAAGGAATTGGGTTCGGAAAATTTGGTAAGTTTAGCGTATCCTCGATGCTCGACACATATTGAAGATGTCTGTGATTTTACCAACTAATGTGGAAACTGACTTGTTGGATGACTTCTTAAAATGTTTGTTAGCATTGCACGTCTGACTATGAAATCAGTTAGACCTTCACTTAAGGCCTCATATTTACACTCAGGCCAACAAATTGAAAACAAAGACGTTCTCTCTTCCAAATTTCTACACGTTTATTCCCTTCCAAATCTCATAGCATCCTGTATGAATTTCGTGAAAAATAGCCTGTACTTGAGGCTTCAATCTAAGATTAAAATCAAAGAAATAAATTTCAATTACAATATGCAATCAAAACATCAATTTTGAATAGCACATTCTCTCGTCCTTCATATCAGCATAAACGATTTAATGGTTCTTTTTTGTCCTCTAATCTTGAATTGACTTCAATTTATTTTATTTTTTACTTAATCAGTAAGGACTTTAAGGTGAATTTATCTTTTAAGATTATGTATTTGCATACATAATTCAACAAAATTTATTTTTCCCGGTAAGAGTTTTATCGGAAATGCTGCTGTACAACTCGGGCTACAGCCCCCTCACAAGTGGGGAGGGGGTCCGCATAATTTGTTATTGCGCGTGGGCCTCCCGAACTGTGAGAGGGTTGTACACGGTGCTGTGTGCACAGCACTAGCACTGCCCTAGTTTTATGCTTGTGGATTGATCACCAATTGTAATTTTCTAAGATAATGGGGCCGAGAAAATGCCATTAGTCTGAATTCCTAAACATATTAGTTACACTACAGTTTAGGCATGGTCAAGTGAGGAATTACTGACTTAGAACTAAAATTAGCTTCCCGTTGACTGGAATTAAGAAGATTCTCCATATCATATGGACTTTTTTTCATCTTTTTAAATTTTTTGGCAAATTCATGGTGGAATTGGAAATTAAAAATGGAATATGATCTTGATTGAGATGGTGTTCATTAAAAAAATAATAATAATAATAAATAAATATATATATATATACACACACACACACATA